ATGAAAGGAAAATTTTCTTTATTCTCCACTTTCTCTTCCATTAATTCTTTGCAACTGAAATACAGGATTAAAGTAAATAAACTCTTAAACCATAAGATTTATGCAATTTTAGCCTTTTTTTTACTGTAAAATGCATAACTATAAACAAATAGAGACAAAAAATAAAATAAAATTACATAGATTATAGAATTTAAGAGCTTATCTACCTTTACAAGAGCTTATAAACTTAATTTAAAATATCAAATCAGTTCATATGCTTACCGTGAGGTTTTGGCTGCAACAAATAAATCACAAGTCACAACTCCCATTACAAAAAGGAAGAAGTTGACTTCACTATCTTTTGTCCCCGTTTACCCCCAAAAATGGTCAACTTTTCAATCTCCATTAAAGACGATCAGACCTAGAAATAGCATGAATTTGTCATTCTCACTTGACTCCAAGGGGACAAATATAGCACCACTATTCTCAGACGTCTTGGTTTAGTGATTAAAATGATAAAATAAAAATTATTTTTTTGTAAATTAAATTTTTAAATTTTATAAATGACATTTTTTTTTCTTAAAATACCTAGGTTAAAAAAAAAATAAAACAAAGCACCTCAACTAAAAAGGTTAATCAGTCATAAATCTTTAGAAAGGGTTCTATCTCGTAAATTTTAAGTTGGGTTTAAATCATTTCTTCTAAAAATTTGTACTTATTAAAAGAAAAAGAAAAAGAAAAAAAAAACAAATAGAGACTTAAATGCCATTTGTATGGTGTCACCAATCCACTCTCAAACCAAATTACCAATGGCAGGTGGACAGGCATCCTCTGCAGCCCCACATACATTTCCACTATTGGCTCTGGTCAACCCATCAATTGACCAGCACTGCCTATAAATTACAGCATCTCTTTCATTGCTTGTTGGGTCTGTCATGGCTTCTTCTTGGCTATCTGTTATGATTTTGAGTGTTCATGCTTGTTTATTCTTGCTCTCGCTTCACGTATTTGGTTCAAACAATGTGGGGTTTCTTTTGTGATTTGGGTTCTGTTTGTCAATAATGTGTTTAATCTTTTTTCCCCAGAAAAGATTGTAGCTTTTTGCTTGTGGATCTTTGCAGGTTTACATTGTGTACATGGGAGACAGACAACATGATGAGGCTCACCGTGTCCAGGATTTGCACCATCAGATTCTTTCAGATATTCTTGGAAGGTTTCATTTCTTAATCATTTTAATTTGTTGTGAATTATCATTCAATATCTGTTGTTTCCGACCCCATGTAAAAATTGTTTTTATTTTTTTGGCAATCTGTCAGCAAAGAAGCTGCAAAGAAATCCATTTTATACAGCTACAAACATGGGTTTTCGGGGTTTGCTGCAGTTCTTACTCAGTCTCAAGCCAAGCTTATTGCAGGTGTTATAATGTTGGTGAACCCTGAACAGTGAACTCTGTTTTTATCATTAGGGTTTTCACTCCAACTGTTCACTTTAGTTGTTGCTGATAAAAAGAAAAAGGTCAAGTTAATTTATTTCCTGTAAGTGGCAAATTAATGCAGGTCGCCCTGGAGTTGTTCGCATATTTCCAAATAAGATTCTAAGTCTGCACACTACTAGAAGCTGGGATTTTCTGGGTGTAAAGCCTCATGTAGTAGATGGAATTCTTTCGAAGAGCAAGTCGGGTACTGGTTCTATCATTGGTGTCATTGATACCGGTCAGTGTCTAAGTGCTTCCAATATAATTATTATTTTGTTTATGCTTGTGCTTCTGGTGAATTTAACTCAATATTTTTCTTAAACTTTGTTGAGAGAAGGCATATGGCCAGAGTCAGAAAGCTTCAGTGATAATGGTATGAGAGAAATTCCATCTCGTTGGAAAGGGATATGCCAAGAAGGAGAAGGATTCAATAAGTCCAATTGCAATAGGTAGACCTCCATTTCCTGTTCATATTTTCATTTTCCCCTCTTTATGGTCTTTTTTGTGTCTTTCCTGATAGAGGCAACATCATATTGCTGCATTAGGTTTTCAGGATTGACTTTAATCCAGCAATCTTTGGGGCAATAATTTCTGTCAGTCTATCATTTGAAAATTTTCCATTACAATTGTGTATTCTTTTGCTAGGACAATCAATGATACAGCATGAAATGTCTACATATGTCAGCACACAATGCTTTAGGAAAGTAAAAGTGCTTCTTGACATAATCTGTAATGTTAAACTTTTGAAGAATCTAAGCAAACTATGTTTGAGTAGAATCCCACCTTGGTTAGGGTTCTGAAGCCCTGTACCATATACTTGAAACAGGAAAATTATTGGTGCACGTTGGTATGTTAAAGGATACGAAGCTGAATTTGGAAAACTAAATTCAAGTGATGGGGTTGAATTTTTATCTCCTAGAGATGCTGTTGGTCATGGCTCTCACACAGCATCTATTGCAAGTGGTGTTCTGGTAAAAAATGCAAACTTCATGGGATTAGCTCAAGGGTTGGCAAGAGGAGGTGCTCCATCATCTTGGTTAGCTGTCTACAAAATTTGTTGGGCTACTGGTGGTTGTAGTTCAGCGGACCTTCTAGCTGCATTTGATGATGCAATCTTTGATGGCGTTGATGTGCTTTCACTTTCCTTGGGTGACTCACCACCTCTTGCTACATATGTTGATGATACTTTGGCTGTTGGATCCTTCCATGCAGTAGCAAGAGGAATATCTGTTGTCTGCTCAGGTGGAAATTCTGGTCCTTATCCTCAAACAGTCTCAAATACTGCTCCTTGGATTATAACTGTTGCAGCAAGCACCATTGATCGAGCTTTCCCCACTGTCATCACTCTGGGAAACAATCAAACCTTTGTGGTAATGCTAATTTCCTCCACAGCTAGCAATAGATTTTATGCAAGGTTTTCTGTTGACATGACATGAGAGCATGCATAACCTACAGCTCAAATTTGACTGAGCAATTTCCATTAACCATGAGATCTATAAGTAATAGCTTAATTCTAGTGCTACATGGGATTATTTAAATGTGACCATCGAAATGTTGGACTGTATGCATGACATGGTTGCAAAACTTTTAATTTGGTACTGATCTGCTGTCTAACACTTATTTGAGTTGAAATGGTTAATGTACTGCTTTATGCTTAGACTTGATTACAAATTCTGTTTCGTTAAACAGGGTCAGGCTTTCTATAATGGGGAGGGTGTGAACAAGTTTCATCCTATTGTCAATGGAGAAGATATTGCAGCCATTGATGCAGATAAAGATGGTGCAAGGTAAAATGCAAATGTAATTTCTCATTGAATTAATCTATCAGCCTCATGGTTCAGTAGGAACGTCTTCTCTAATATCATTTTCTTTAAACAGATCTTGTGATTCAGAAACCCTTAATTCCACTTTAGCAAGGGGAAAGGTAGTTCTTTGTTTCCAATCTCGATCACAGAGATCAGCTACCATAGCTTTAAGAGCTGTGAAGGAAGTCCAAGGGGCAGGTCTAATCTTTGCTCAGTTCCCCAGTAAGGATATTTCTTTCTTATGGGATATCCCTTCTGTCCAAGTCGACTTTACGACTGGGACTTCCTTGCTAACCTACATGGAGGCAAGCAGGTATTATGCTTGGCAGTTTTTGGTTTATCAAATTTGGAGCTTGTCATTGTAAGAATTACTATGCACAACATGGTGATGATTACCAGATTCAGAGATTATCTAGTGATTTTTTATGCACAGAAATCCAGTAGTCAAGTTTAACTTCACAAAGACAGTAATTGGGCATGAACTGGCCCCAGAAATAGCGTTTTTTTCAGCTAGAGGACCAAGCTCTCTCTCACCATCTATATTGAAGGTACTAACATTCTAAAAAAAGAAATAGTTTGAATGTTCTCTTTTAGAAAATTTACATATTTCATGCTTTGCTCAGCCGGACATTGCTGCTCCTGGGGTTAATATCTTGGCCTCCTGGTCACCTGCTTCTTATCCCAAGCCATCTGATATGATCCAAAGTGAACTGCCTCAGCTTAACTTTAAATTTGATTCTGGAACCTCCATGGCTTGCCCCCATATCTCTGGTATTGTGGCTCTTCTCAAGGCTATCTATCCAACCTGGAGCCCTGCAGCAATTAAATCTGCACTAATCACAACTGGTAAGAAAGCGAAGTTCCGTGGAATTTGAATTGACCTTACAAACTCCGTAAATCAACTGCATTTTGTTTTCTCTTGGCCAGCTTCTATAAGTGATGAATATGGTCAACACATTGTGGCTGAGGGAGCTCCACACAAGCAGAGTGACCCATTTGACCATGGAGGTGGTCATGTAAATCCTAGCAAAGCCATGGCTCCTGGTCTTGTCTTTGACATGGGGGTTGCGGATTATTTCCAGTTCCTATGTTCAATGGGATATAATCATACAGCCATCAGCTTAATGACCAGGATGAACACTCGATGCCGCAAATCATCCAACACCCTCCAAAATCTGAATCTGCCTTCCATCACCATACCTGAGCTGAAGCTGCACATGGTTGTGTCCAGAATCCTAACAAATGTTGGTCCAGTAGAATCTGTTTACACTGCCCGTGTTCAACCTCCAGCTGGAACTTCAGTCAAAGTGGAACCATCAATTTTATCATTCAATTCCACAATCAAGAAGCTGAAGTTCAAGGCAACCTTCTATTCCCAGCTAAGAGTTCAAGGAAGATACTCATTTGGATACCTGTTTTGGGAAGATGGCATTCATGTAGTAAGGATACCATTAGTAGTACGAACTATCATTGATGCTTTTTCCTCTGAAACCTGATTCAGATAAACTGCTCTATATTACTGATTCTGAATTCTAATAAAGGCAATTATTATCAGTAATTTTTCATTATTTGTTCCTGCATGAAATGAAACATTCCAAAGTCCTAACCATGCATATATTCATGATCCCTTCCATGGGATGAATACGATGCGTTCATATTACATGTGGATGTAAGGTAGACACATCCACAATCGTACGTGGTGACCAGACCATACCAGACCCATTCCGCGTGACCTTTGCATCTGGTTGACTCAATTATTTGATGGGTCTCTAATTCTATGTTATACAACAAGATATGACCTTTGCCTTGATTTTTTTTCCCTTCTTTCCGAAGCATCTGAAAATTTAAACTTGACATTGATTGCGTATAGTCTTATTCTCGTATAGGGGTAGTAATTTGTCCCAATCTCTACAGGATCTCATAGAATCCTCACCATGGGGTGAGGCAGGGACCATGGCGTTTTCCCTACGAAATTATGCAGAAAAATATTCCCATCCCATGGGGTCCATGGAGATTCCCATCGGGTTTCACGGAGATTCCTATCCAAAAAAATATATAAATTAATTTTATTTTAAATTTAATTCAATCTATTATATCAATACACAATATATACACTTCAAACTTAAATTCAATTTAATAAAAATTAAATTTAATCCAAATATGTCGGTTTATCTATTTATGTTGAATTAATCTTTATTTATATTTAAAACAAAATTTTTGGTTTAGCTATTTATATTAAATTAATTTTTATTTATATTTAGATAATTTATATTTGATTTTATATTTAAAAAATTTTAGTTAATTATACTTAAATTTTTAAAATTTTGTTTATTGTAATTAAATATTGTTACTTATATGTAAAAAAATTATATTTTAATATAAATTGACAAAAAAAATAAAAATATTAGACAAAATTTGCCTTCATAAAATATTCCCATCCCTGCCATTCACAAGCCCTGCCTGTTCCGTGGGTCCGTTACCATTCCGATCCTCATATTACACTTGAAAATTAGGCAGACATCTCATTTCCTATGCATAACCTATGCTTTTCCCCAATTCTTCCCAGTTCCCACCAATCTCAACTTTTGAATTTGTAATCGAAAAGCAGGCTGAATTTTCTCAGAAAGTTAGGTGCAAATCTCATTTCAAGCAATAAGATGATGGAAAATAATTGAAAGATAATATTTTTACAATTTTTTCATATAATTTTATATATTATTAAATAATTAATTTTTTTATTTTATTGATACTTATAATACTATATATATTTATATTTAACAACATATAAAAATTATATTAAAAATTTATAAAAAAAATTGTTCTGGTATCATTACTTTAAGATGAATGGTTCTGGTATAAAAAAGTCTGTGACTGTGAAAGTCACTTTGGGCGGTGGAACAGTGGAAGTGGTGAACTGGCTCAAGTACTTTCCTCAAAAGGGAAATCAAAATCGTTCACGGCAAAACTTACCCAAGAAGACCCAAATTAGGTAAACAACAATCGGGTTAAGATTTCCAAATGATACAACCTTCAATTTCCATATATGTAAAAATATCATAGCACTTTAACTTTTAGCTCAATTAATAATATGTATAGTTTCATTTGTGTAAGATATATGTTTAACCTTTTTTTTTTAATTTTTAACTAATAATTTAAGAATTTTGATAATAATCTCTTTTTAGTAAAAGTTAAAAAAAAAATTGAATTTAACTCATATAGTATGTGAGTGGAGTAGTGTAAGAAACAAAATAAAATTATCTTTTATTATGTAACTAATATAAAAAAAATTCTTTAATTTCTAAAGAAAAAAAAGTATCAATACAAATATTAAAAAATATACATAAATATTACAGAAAGATCTCATTTTCAAACCTCTATTTTACATAGACCAGGATGATAATATGGGAAGAAAATGCTAACAATAACTTAAGCAATGTTAGCCATCCTAAATAAAAATTTTTTATTCATTATTTTCAATTATACATAATTCTTCCTTCTTAAGTCATCCCAGCTAGACGTGCGACTTTGTGTGATTTATTTTGTAGAGACTTTTTTCACACAATATATTATCTAAAAATGTATATTTACAATTTTTAATTAATATTAATTAATTTTTATATATTTTTAAGATAATAAAAAAATTTATAAATAGAATCATAATACGACACAACACTACATTAACAAAAGAAACTATAGAGTGCAGTTTTAGAAAAAATGTATATATAAGAATGCTAATTTTTTTAAAATATTAATTTTATTAATTTTTAAATAAAAAATAAATATTTTTAAATAAATAATGTTAAAAATTAATATTTTTAAATAAAAAAATAAAAATAACATCTTTATATATGTACATTTTATCTGAGGTCTTGCCTTTTATTTTATTTTATTTTTTTCAAACAAAATGATAATGGTGAGATTCAAACTTCGAACCCACTAAGAAGAGAAAGGACTGCACCTTCAAGATGACTCAAAAACCACTTGACTCGAAGGTTCACAGGTCTTGCCTTTTAATTAGGATTCTCAATTTTTAAAATAAAATAAATGGAGTATTTGCGGTGGAGTGTCGAAATCAAAGAAATTAAGCTAGAAATAGAATGGTTCTGCCATACACGCGAGTCCAACGAATCATGGCATGTCGTTTAATGAGGGGGGCAGCCCATGAGATGACTTTATAAAAATTATATTCCGAAACGGCAATCAGTTCGTGCTTGAAGGGAAATATTTTTTTTAATAATTTTTTTGTTTTATTTTTTATATAATTTAATATCTTATTAAAATAATTAATTTTTATAAAACTTATAATATTAAATGTATTAATTTATTTAATAATATATAAAAATTATATAAAAAATTAAAAATAATTATTTTTATAACATCACATGTGCTTAAATGCCACGTTGTTACGCGTCCGCTGTTC